CAACAGCGCGTTCTGAGAAACCCATCATCAGCACGATATAGATCCATGTCAGTCCACGAGTGCGCTGCCTCCACATCAAATCACCGCAGTCCGCCGTATAGTCGTTCGAGACGCAACTAAATGGCCTTTCTACTGGCTCCTCAAAAAGTAAGCTTTAAGAAACATGCGCAGGCGCATCTCTACCCAATTCGGCACTCCTGAGCCACATTCACAGCATGCTGCCCACCCAACTGGTAGCCGGCAAAAGGACCTGAACGCGCCTGCTGTCAATAGAAAATGTGCAATTAGGTCTATGCCGCTCGCTGTTCTCTCCTAGGCAGTCAACACACGGAGCTGAGGCGCTGGCATGCAAAGCTTCCAGACCTGGATGAGAGGGCCTTGCAAGGTCAGCGCGAAGACAGATAAAGAGTTCTCGTACTACACATATTTATACGCGTTTCCAAAGCACTTGCCGCAGACTCACTTCTCGGAGAAGCTCCACTCAGCAGGCGTCCAATTTAGCTCCGTTTGCTGAACGCCCCTAGTTGGAGCCCATGTGTGCATCTTCAACGCTCGCAGCTAATAAAGCAAGCATTTCAACAAACGTTGCCCGCTTTTGCCCTTTCCATCTTCCACAGGCAGCAATTAGCGACCAATGTGACCCAATATACTTTAGTCACTTAAGCCTGAAGGTTCTGCCCCAGTTCTATCTTCTGAGCGTTTGGCTGACGCACTTCCTGGAAAAGCCCTCACCCCAACGTCAGCAACCCTCCCAATGTACCTGAAGCCGCTCAGCTTGCTGCCTATGCCCAGAGGTTTCACTGCAGCAAACCTCAGTGCCACTTGATCACAGAGGTTGTCAGCGCGAGTGGCTAGTGTGCATGCTGTCACAGCGCAAGGTTCAGTAAAGTTTGTGTACCTCGTGGCACACTTAGGGAGAAGCCAAATAACACGTGGCTTACAGTCTTTTTAGAGAAGCCCACATTAGAAGCAGCACGTCGGGGCGCAGTGGCATGTTTAGTCTAGTTCCTAAGCAGCCAGTTCATCTCATGCGCTGGCCAGAAACTTCATTTTAGCAACTGCATGCTTGAAGTCAGTGGCGCACATGCAGCCTGCCCGTTTTGCCTTCCTGAGTGCTTGTTCCTGCGGGCCCTGAAAGCAGCACGTAAATCTTCTGCAAAACTTCAACATAGCACTGCTTAGCCTTGGCAAAGAGCCCACCAGAATCAACATTTTCCCGCACATATCGTAATTCCCTCTGTGTTTACCCAAACGCACAACCTGGAAGTATTGTCGCCTTCGCCACACTCGCGGCACCAAAGTGGCACGAGTTCTCCACAGCTATCTTCTTAGACGCTGCCATATTGAAACAGAGATATTCAATGCGTCTCCCGCTTTTTCATTGTGGACTTCAACGTTTGGCATTTCCGATGTGTGCTGCAGCATCCGAGTGGCGTTTTCGCCTGCCAGTGGAGCAGCAGGTGGATACAGCAGCACTTTTTGTGCATATGATGCAGCCTTTTTGATCAATGCACCACCTGAAGAAGTCATATTCAAGCCCCATGCATGCCACAATATAGTCTGCGCCTCTTCAGCTTTTGTTCTCTTTCTGCAAAAGCCTCTGAGTCACAGTGACGAACTTGACGCACTTCCTCAAAGACCTGCAGACATTTAGTGGCCACTCCAGCAGCTTTCCACACAGCCGCGCACACGTTTGAAGACAATTCACCTCCATGTTTCCTGCAAAATGCTTTTCTGTTGTCTGGATTACCGGCATGATGACAATGGCTGGCTCATGTTGTCATCAGTGCATGTTACAAATGTGGCACAGCAAAGTAGCGGCAGCCCAGCTCGCTGCAGCTCTGCAATACCAATGGACGTCTTCAAACGCGTGCAGCCTGTTGTTTCACTGGCGTGCATATTTATGGGCAATAAGTTCAATTCAATCTAACGCCTGCCCCGCCACAAATGCAATGTGCAGCACTGATCTGTTCCTCCAACATAAACAGCCCGATCATGCAGCAAAATCCCCCTGAAATCTCTTTTAGCAGCAACAGTGTCCACAGTATGGCATGCTTCACCGTTCAACTTCGTTCCGAAACGACTTGCTGCAACAAGCGCCAGCCACCACGAAACACTCGCCCCGGTAATTTCAGTGTTTTCGACAGATTTTGAAAGACCCAAAATGCTACATGCAGTGCCTCAGAGCGCACTTCGTGTCTCAATATGGGATGGGCGAAGCTGCACTGTTTGCTGGCAGCAAAAATATCTGAAACGAAGCTAGCCCGAGCTTTCTTGCAGAACATCGCATAGAAGTTCCGTTTACCGTTGCTGCCCTTCTCTAAAACAAGACTGTGCATGTTTCTGGTTGAATGTGGCTTTTAATTCACAGATTAGGACATAGCAATAAACACCACTAGCCAAGAAAAAGTGCACGCGGCAGAATTAGTAAAGCTGCGAATTCGCATTTTCAAGGCTTCTGAACTTTCCAAGAAGTGCTTAGCCGAATGCGCGCACCTTATGCTGCAGTAGCAGCCTTCCCGATTGGGCACTAAACTCTGAAAGTTCTGGACTTTACCTGGCCAAGAGTTTGCCAGAATTAAGACCAAAGAAGCAACTTTGCGGGTTACAGGAAAAAGTCAAAGTCAAAGTGGCTTGTTGGCCCCGCAAGGGGCGCTGCAGCAAAACAGCAGCACATTCCGCAGCTCCTGCGATCTGCCTGCGCAGCTTCTTGCAAATTCTGCAGCTTCTCACTTCACTGACATGCATTTCCTCGACACAAAAGTCTAATTCAAGTTATATGCTGCGCCGCCGCAGATGCTGCAGCAAAACAAGACCCTGGCGACCCAAATTTCCAGGCAGCAGCAGCTTCGCTGCTGATCTTGGCCGGCTGTCAGCAAGATCTGCATTTCAAATGTCAAAACAAAGTCATTTGATGCCACCAAAGCTATATTAATTGTCATTCAAGTGCTCTTGCATGCGCTTCACCTCGAAAGCCCCTAGTTTGCGCTTAGCAGGGGAGCTTCACAAGGCTCAGTTGCCTCAAATTCAAAAAAAAAGTAAAACGAAGGAAAAGACTGCCTCTTTTATTTCTTTTTAGCTTTTATTTTGCAAATAAAAGTGGAGTTTTCGTTTTGTTCCTTGCTGAGGTCAAAACACTGAACTTGAACTGCAGCAAACGCTTGCAAGTCAAGCCAGGAAATCTGCACCTTGAAAAGCTGCATTAAGTTTGTTCTTTTTGAATAAAAGTTTCTTACCTCCTGCATTTAATTTAATTTATCTGTTTTCTTTTTGTGCAAACTCGCAATCCCCCGTCCACACATTAACAGCAAATGCAAAAAAGTTTCATTAAATTCAATTTACGCGCTTGCGCGTGAAAGCTGAATGACTCATAACTCATTTCCCGGAAAACTTTCGAAAAAAGTGATTCAAATGCATTTCTTTTTTCGTTCTTTTAGGAATTCCATTCAAAAGTTTCATTTTTAACTCCAAAAAAATAGAAAATGCAATTTTTTCCCCCGAAAATAAAGCAAAATTTGCAATCTTCCTGCAGCTTTGCAAACTTGAATAGTTTCTTTATTCAACGCACGTCCTGAAATCACCCCCAGGTCCCTGCTGCAAATCTATGCTGCTAAAATCCTAAAAGCCACTCAAGTTCGCTTTGCTGCAGCAGCTTTTGAAGAACCCAAAGCACATGAGGGTTTAGGATTTAGGGTTTAGGGCTTTTGCCCGTTCTTGGGCATGCGGCAGCCACACAGATAATAAAACCCGTACTTTATTCTCAAACGCTGTACCCTGGTTTCTCAATTTCCCTGTTCAATTTCAAGTTTCTTTTAAATTTAAATTAAATTGAATTAAATTAAATTTCATTTTTTCCGATTGTACAGGGTCTCACATCCTGCTGCCGCGCACAGTGTCTGTACACTGCAGAAAATGCAAGACGTGCAAGTTGGCTCCTTCAATTCCCAATTTCAAAATAAACAAATTTAATCCAAAATCATAAGCAGCAAATGATATATCTTTCACAAAAGATCCCCAAGCATTTCCCGAATGTCCTTTATGCTTTTGCTGCTTCATGCATGCCAAATTAGCGCAGCTTTCAACCATCAGCCCCTGCAGCAGCAGGTGCTGCTGCTGCTGCAGCTGCAGTAGCAGCATCTGCAGTAGCAGCATCTGCAGTAGCAGCAGCTGTAGCAGCGACATCTGCAGTAGCAGCAGCTGCAGTAACACCAAAAGCAGCAGCAGCAGCAGTAGCAGCTGCTGCAGTATCAGCAGCTGTAGCAGCAGCTGCAGCAGCTGCAGCAGCAGCAGCAGATAGCGTGAAGCGTGTCTGCCCAAACGCGACAGAAACCTTTTCGCAAGAAGACAAAAATGAAAACTTTAATTTAAAATTTTTAATTATTTAAATGTTTTAAAACAAACATTATTTGCTGCTGCTTCTGCAGCTGCAAATAATGTTTTAAAGCACTTTTTGCATTGGAGGTGCAGCAAAGCTGAAGCGAAACAGCAGCAGCACATTTTCATTATTTTAAATTTTCCATTTTTCGTTTGCATGCATTTTTGAAATAATTAAAAGCATTTTAAGATCCCTCGAAAGGCTTTTTTGTTGCTGCTGTGGGGCCCCACAGCAGCGCAGCAGCAGCAGCAGCACAGCCAGTTTGAGTTATTTTTCCTTTTTTCCTTAAATGTCAACTAAAATAAAATAATTTAAATAGTTTTGATCATTTAAATTATTTAAATCAATTTAAATTCGTTTAAATCATTTAAATTTATTTAAATTTATTTAAATAAATTTAAATTAAATCTAAATAAATTTAAATTTATTTAAATTTATTTAAATCAATTTCGCATCGACTCTAACCATACAGACCAAAAGCCAGTTTGCCAGCGTGAATTAATTTCAGAAAGAGCCTCTTCACGCCTGCTGCTGCTGCTGCAGCAGCAGCAGCAGCAACTGTTTCTGCTGCAGCTGCTGCTGCTGCAGCTCTGCACCAGCCGTGCTGCTGCAGCTCTGCAGCAAGTTACGCTGCCGCCGCTGCTCCAGCTGCTGCTGCTGCTGTTGCTCTGCACCAGCTGTTGCTGCTGCAGCTCTGAACCAGCAGCTGCTGCAGCTCTGCAGCACCTGCTGCTGCTGCAGTTTGACTCACAGTGCAGTCGTTCTCGTCCCGGCCTCCCTCGGCCAGTCTTCTGCTGCTGGCAAGTTTGAATTTGCTGCTGAAGTTTGAGTTGGAAAGAATTTTGAAGCAGCGCAGCACGAGGAAAGTTGCTGCTGCAACAGCAAGAACAAGGCTGATCACCGGCAGCAGCAGCTGCTGCTGCTGCTGCCGCCGGTGAAACCAGCCCCGCGAATAGAGCTCGGGTTTAGCCTCCATGGGGTTTGCAGCAGCGGGGAAGCTGGGAGGAAGTGCTGCTGCTGCTGCTGCTGCTGCTGTTGCTGCTGCGGCCGGGGCTCCTTCCGCGACTGCTGCTGCTGTTGGGACAGGGGCGGCAGCGGCGGCTGTGGCTGCTGCTGCTGCTGCAACTGCAGCAAAACGTAACGCTGAAAAGCAATGATGAGGGAGCTGCTGCTCCATTTCACCACAGAGACCGAAGCATGTGATCTCCTTCTTGTGTGGGCGCTACTGGAGGATGAATTAAAAGTGAAAAAGAACTTGAAATGAATTAAAAAGAGATAAAAGAAATCAAAGAAAAGCCAAAAAAGGGGGGAAAAGCAGAGAAAAAGGAGTTCTGCTGCGTCTTCCACTGAACCGGCGAGCCCTGCTGCTGCCGCCGCGCTCGCTGCTGATGCTGCAATGTCTGCGGCAAAATTGACTTCTTTTCTTCTTCAAGAGCTCTTAAAGTATTTTAATTTGCAAATTTGTGCTGCAAAAGGCGGGGAAAATTCCAAAAATTCAGGTTTCCCGCTTTCCGCATGTTAGGGCTCCCGGCGGCTGCAGCCCGGCGCCCAGACTGCGGATTCGCGCAGCAGCAAAACAGATCCAACTTCAATAAGTTCTTTTCTCCTTTTTAATTCAAATAAAACAAGAAATTCCTTTTTCGGGAGTTTTTCTTTCCAAGTGCTTCGCAGCCCGCGAAGCCGCCTCGCGCCCCAGTGTCTGTCTTGTACGAAGACGCTGTGGTGCGCCGCGGCCTGAAACTGAGAGTTTTTCTCCGCTAAATTCAAAATTCATTTAATTTTAAATAATGTTAGTTTGAGAAGTTCTCGAAGAGCTCCGTTTTGCTCCGCTGTACCGACATTGCACACCCGCAGCTCCCTTCGAGTGTGAGCGCTGCACGAATTGTGCAGAAAATCTCCATTAATTCGACGCCCCTCCCCGAAAAACTAATTGGAATGCTTTTTAATTAATTATTTTAATGAAAGAAGCGCATTTTAGCTTTCATTCTAGTCAGTTCATACGGGCGAACCAAAACGTTGAGCCTGCCTTATTTTCCGGGTGTACGTACACCCGATCAACATTCCACCTTTGAACAAAACAAATAGAACAAAGACAAACATCATTTTGAACCTCTAGGGTACTTCCGGATGCACACAAACAGAAATTTCACCGAAGCCTTTCCCTACTGTAATTAGGGGGGCCATTCAGTAGCAGCTGGGGGCCCCCATGGGCGCCACGGAGGGCCCCAGGGGCCCCCTGGGGGCTCTCACTGCCACCCGACGGCCCCGTAGTGGGGCCCCAGGGGCCCCCTCAGGGCCCCAGGGGCCCCCTCAGGAACCCCGGGCCCCCCTCAGGGGCTCCCAAAGTTCTTGGGGGCCCCCAGGGGCCCCCAGCGGGCCCCGAGGGGCCCCCAGTTGCTGCTTGGCTTTGCTGTTAGTGCCAAATTGGTGACTTTTGGCATTTAAAATGAGACTTTTTGGATATAATGTTGGCTCCAGCAAACCCTAAACCGTAGAAGAGTGTCAGCGGATAGGCAGCAGGCTATTTTCTGCTTTTTAGGAGATTTAGAGCGATTAGGGTCTAGGGTTTAGGGTTTAGTGTTTAGTGTTTAGGGTTTAGGGCCAAACCTGTTAAACCCAGCTGTCCAATTTGAGGGGCCCCGAAAGAAATAAATATTTCATAAATGTGTTTTTTAATATAACTCAAATTTTATTTAAATGAATAAATAAATGAAATATGTTTTTATTCTTTTGTTGAATGGCATTTTTAATTTTCTTTTATGTTCTATAAATATTAGAGACAAGGTATTAGAGTGTACAGACACCTCCTTCATTCCTTTGTGCTGCAGCAACAGCAGCAGCAGCAGAAACAGAAGCAACAGCAGCAGCAATGGCAACAGCAACAGCAACAGCAACAGCAGCAGCAGCCGCACTAGCAGTAGCAACAACAGCAGTAGCAGTTGCCACAGGATCAGGAGCAACAGCAGCAGTAGCAGCAGCAGCAGCAGCAGTAGCAACAGTCACAGCAGCAGGAGCAGTGGCAACAGCAACAGCAACAGCAGCAATAGCAGCAGCAGCAGTGGCAACAGTAGCACGAGCAGCAGCAGCAGCAGCGCTACCAGCAGTAGCAGCGGTAGCAGCAGCAG